TAATATTCTGCTATCTAAAACTACTGTAAGCCAAGTCTCCAAATGCACTTCTCAATTGGTGTTCACATCATTGCTATCTCAATAATAGACTGTCCAGATGTGATGGAAAGGTGTTTGGCAAAACTACTAACTAAAACATGTCATGTAGAAAGTAAAAATAATAGAGTTGTTGAAAAAGGAAGGAAAGATTTCTTTTTGAAACGAACTCAAAAGGAAGGTAAACCAAACCAATTGAAATGGAGTAATATAAAGAGACATAGCAAAGCACAATAACCAGATTACAAGAGCATATAAAAATTATGATGAAACATATGAAAAAATAACATGTGATGTGATGCTCCTTATATAGGTTTTGAATGTTGAATTTGAACCAAATATGATGCTAAGTATAATTGTTCATTGAAATCTTGGAAGCTTTAAATCCATAGACTTTGAAGATTTACCAAACAACTCCTCCCAAATCTCAGTGAAAGCTTCCACAATAATTGCATGATGGTGTCTTGAATTGAGACTAAGAAAACAAAGCAAAAGTTGTTCTAAATCCTCTGCTTCAAACATCTCTTTCTCCAATATCATTTCCTTCATTGAATTCTTGAAATCGTCGTAAGGATCTGCTGATCTTTTCACTATAGCAAAACTCTCATTCACTTTTCCATCAGCCATACATGGCATCATAGAATCTTTAAAACTATTTGAAAGGTAACGTCTAAGCCTCCTTACTTTCGTGTTATTATTATTTTTCTTCCTTCTGATCCCGGATAAAGGATCTATCCCATGATCCACATCGAATGATGATTCAAAACTTGGAGAAGAAATAAAACTTTCAGTTTCATCATTAGGTTTCTTATCACAACATTCACTACTGAAACTGAACCAGCCACTATCAACAGAGGAAAAACTCATATTCAACCTACTTTTTCTACTTTCCCCCCTTCTCATGTTGTTGTTATCATGATCAGAATATTCAGAACTCGGCGAATTGTATGTTTTACTTGCCAAGTTGTGAGCTTTTCTGAATATGTAAGGGTGATGTGGGGTTGAGGGAGGTACTGGAACAGGGGAATTATCAAGAATATTGGCAGGGGGGAATTTGTATAGTGAAAGTGGCATTGGACTTTTAGGCAAAAAAGAAGCTTTTTTGGATCGACAAAAGCGAAAAGAAGGCATAGAGAGCTTGAGTTTAAATCTCCTTGTCATATCTAAGTGATGAAAAATGCAATTCTTTTGGTAACAAATGAGATGAGTGCACAACAACAACAACAAACGTACTTAGTGTAATTCCACAAGTGAGATCTGGGCTAGGTAAAGTGTACGTAGACCTTACCCTTATCTTGACAAGCAGAGAGAGACTGTTTTTGATAAACCGTCAACTCAAGAAAAAGATGACAAAGAAAAAAGTTGACAATAACTACAACATAAATAGTAGAAAGTAATGAAAAAATTGTTGCTCGAACCAAAATATGATGTTGCTATGGGCGTTGGTACAATTACAGGCGGAATGTTCAGTACCGATTAGCCATGCCCAAGGAGTTTGGAGTTCAAGAATTTGAGATTGTTTTATAGAAGAAAATTGAGGGAGAAATGGCCGGCTTTGGTCAGCTGACAGTAGGCAAATCTTTTAATAAAGAATTTAAGTAATATAAGTCGGTATAAACAATTTTACATCATCAGGTCATCTTTACCAGGTAACATATTTTATATTTAAGAATTCAATCTCACATTTTAAGAAAATTCATATGTAGATATCTTGTGAATGGCTTAACCGTGTAAATTAAATAATTACTCGGACGGTGTAAACCTTTTTAATATATAAAACTATTTTCCCCTTATATCAGGAGTTCTGTGACAGACCAAATCTGAGTGAGGTAATGTGAAAGCTACATAGAAATTCCCTCTAGAGGAAATGGTCTCAAAAACATTATTTTATGTATAGTTTCTTTGAGTGTGACATTAAATTTTTTCTCTCTCTTGTATTTTTCTTTTGTTCTTTTATGATACTCCCTCCGTCCACAATTGTTTGGCAGACATACTAAAAATAGATATCTAAGATTAATTGTCAATTTAAACAATCAAGAAATAATTAGTCACTTTTTTCCAATTCTGCCCTTAATGATTGTGTAGTTCAATTGAAAAGTTATGTGGACTTTTAGTATTTTTGATATAGTAGGGTTATATTAATCAAATTACATCTTGTATTAAATTTCCCTTGAGAGATGTGCATGACCTTACCCTGACAAACAATTGTGGACGGAGGGAGTAATTTGAATTCAAGTACCACGACATTCCATGAAAATTAGGTGGGATAACTAGTTTTGAGACCGTCTATGAATATTTAGTCATTTAAAAAATATAATTGAAAAATAACCACTTTTTAAAACATACATAAAACTTAAACAAAAATTATCTCACATTAAAGCGAAAAAAGTCTAAAATTTTTAACAAGTGAAATGAAACTATGAACTCAACTACTCAAGGAGTCTTTCATTGAGTTCAAACTCAAAGACAAAATAGGACTTTTTTTTGAGTTCTAATTATGTGCTAGTAACTAGCGTATATTTTTCGTGTTTAATTCAGAAATATTTTATCCAACTTATTATGAAGAAGCCATGTTTTTCCTTAACGACATTTTTGATTGGACTAAGAAAAAAATCATAACTTTTAACTTCATACTACTCGCTTCAACTAACACAGATATTATTGGCAATTTTTTTTATCAGAACAATCTCCAATTTACTGATATTATTACTAATTTTCAATAACTATGTCTTCTTTCGAAAAACACTTTCCAATCAGTAACACTAACAAAGCACTACGCAATATGACTTTTATCGTACCAAACACATATAATAACATAAGATTTCCCGTAATATCATTATATTTTCCCATAATATCAAATGCAAAAATGCTAAGTTTGTCAACTATTGCCAGCAAGCTGCAATATTTATATCACTCTATTTTTAGATATATAAAAGGTCGTCAATTAACCATCTGAAAAAAGGTTTTACGTTGAAAAAATCATACTATATGTATCCAGCCGTGCATTGAAGAATTCCTTGCTGCCCAATACCATAAATTTGGTCCTACGAAAGTGACTATAATGTATATATTAGCAAGAATAAGGACGTGTTCGGTAGGAAGGAAAATATTTTGAAAAATATATTATTCTAAAAGTATTTGCCTATAATTTAAACAAATATTATGATAGATATTAGGTTGGATTATGGGGTTGTGGATATGGAGGCTAAGGGGGGGTGAGCCGTGAAGGTGAAGATAAGATGTGTTGGAGCCTGCTGGATGGAGAAGACACATTAATTAATCAATATAAAATGTCAGTTGCGGAACTCATTTTTTCTATTTTTATTAGGAAAATCATTTTCCTCATTGTTAATAAACTTGTTTTTTAAATAAAATATTTTTCAATTTTTTGAACCAAATGAACGTGAGAAAAAATGGAAAATATTTTTCCAAAAAATGTTACTATGTTTTATCCTAAGTTGATCGTTGAATTATGTGAACTGACTCATGAAAATTTATCCAAAAAAATGTTATGTTTTCTCCTACAATATTCTTCTTCTTATTGTTTTATTATTTCATACACTCCTCTGTCCTAATTATGTGACACTTTTCGTTTTATGAGAGTCAAACAATTTAAGTTTGACTGGTAATTTATGCATGAAATCTTCAAAAAAATTTAAATGAAATTTATATATTTATAAACTACATAAAAATTACTATAAGTCACAATAATTGACAATTCAAAATATTTAAAAAATGTATGATAAACTTAGGCAAAATGGTCTGATGTATCCTTATACTTGTTCGAGTTTGTATTATGGACCCTTCTACTTAACTCCTTACCAACTGAATCCTTAAACTCAATCAAAACAAGATTTTTAAACTCCTCCTACCGTGTGTGTAATTCACTCGCCCATAAATAAATGACATGTCAAATCCATGTCACATAAATCAATAACATGTCATAATTATCTCTATTAACTATTTTAAAAAAATTATTAATCAAAAATATTAAATAAAAAGAAAAATGCTAAAATTTCCACACACCAAATTAGCCGTCCCTGTTCTTATCCCCAACCCATTCCCACCGTGAAATAGCCTGAAGCCACCAGATCAGAAAGTCACCGCCACCGCTCTTCTTGCCGGTGAGACAATCTATTCTTTCTCTCAAACCCGTCTCCATCTCCACCGCACACTCTCACCATTTTTCGTTCCTCCTTTTCCAATCTCCACAAAATTAGCAACTCTAGGTCGCCGCACTACCAACTTTGGCCGGCAAACCTTTTTCGCCGTTGTGACCAACTCCTCGCACCCTCACCCACCCTACTCTCCTCTCCAATGTCTTCCTTTCACCGCACCACCAGCGACCACTTGAGAACCAGGACTGTCTCTCCTCTCCATTCTCTCCAGCCACCAACAAACCTCCATGCCGCCTCCTGTTCTAGCGAAAAGGGATTAGCGCCAAGATCTGCTAGAGTGTAGGGAAGAAAGATAAAAAGGGATATGGCAGGGATTGGGTTATCTGAAAAAGAAGGTGAAATGGAGAAGAAGAAGATTTTTTTTCTTTTTTTAAAAAATTATTATATTATTCTATTATAATTTTAACAACTCTTTTTAAATTAAAATATAACGTTCACTTGATTACACGCGCGTGTAATCACACACTCCTGCCAACTCATCCATTTTAATGCCACGTATGTTTGGTCAACGGTCAGAGGGGTTTGATATATTATATTTTATTCAGTTTAAGGGTTCAATTGATAAAACATCAAGTAGAAGGGTTCATAATACAAACGTATACAAGTACAAGGGTCCACCAGACCCTTTTGCCAAAAACTTATGGTCAATAATAAACTTGTTTGAATCTAGAAATTCGAAACACATAAATTGGGACGGAGGGAGTAGTATATTTTTAAATGTAAGATATTATTCCCGCCAAAATTAGACCCACACAATCGCAAACACCTCTTTGATAAAAAAAAAAGGTGGCAGAGAAATATCCATTTCTCACAAAATCATGTGCTCCGTTCAATCCTCTCTCAAAGGAGAAAAAAAGGAAACACCATTTTCTTAATTTTTTTTCTCAACAATCTTCCTCTTTCTCTTATATAATTTTTTTGAAGAATAGTGTTGTATTTTTTACATCATGAGAAAATTGAGCCCTAATTTGGACAAAGAAAATGGATTGGATACAGTTTTGGAGGTTCCTCTTCCAGAAGAAATGTTTAGCAAAACCGGTGGCAGGAATGCAGCAATCAGGTGGAAGAATATGCTAAATCTAATGCGAGCTGATAAATTGCCTGATCGATCGAAGGCGGTTGCCTCTGGAAATAATGATCAATTTATGTTCTTGTTGAAAATTGTTGGATCTGCTCTTATACCTTTTCAGGTTCAATTGGATCATGCTATTAGCTTGCCTGTTAGAGATGGTTGCATTGTGAGTTGCTCTGAACATCTCTCCTTCCTGTTTTTGGTTTTTGGGATAAAATATAATAACAATAATAAGAAATAAAAAAAACAGCTCAGAAACATTCTGTGTGCACTCAAAGTTCAGGTAAGGAGGTGTGATGTAGGAAGTCTATCTGATGTAAATATTAGTGATTTCACATTTCGAACCCATGACTTATAAGTCACTGGTATGTTGTGTAGTGCTATTCATTTCACATTATTTCGTTGTTCGTTGTTGTTATTGCTTTCATTTCCATGTTGCCTTTCTCACACTTCGGTCTATTTGAAATAGTAATCTCTACGATAGGGGTAAGGTCTGGGTATAGTGTACTCTATTGTACTCTTCTTAAGACCACACGTGTGGAATCATATTGGGTATATTGTTGTTATTGATCTATAGGTTATACTGAGATAATTTTACCATTGATTCGAAGTTCGCCTTCTTTTGGGATATTTGTATTGGACAAAACAATATTTTCTTAAATGGGTAACAGAAATGACAAAGTTTGAATATTCTTGAATCCGATTCCTGAATAATAAGAATGCTAATGTACTTTTTTTATCAATCAATCACCTCTACATCATATTTTATCAAATTAATCAGGTTGATTTTATGAATTCTCTCTCTATATATTTGGCTCTATTCCGAATGTAGTAGCTGCTTTGGTGGGTAAGGGCATGGCTGCATGAAGGCAAGGGGTTCAATTGAATCTCTTTTGTCGGGAAATTATATTGTGCAAGTATATATCCTAGGATCTATGTCTGCTTTGATGTCCTGTTGAAGTGTGTGATCATTTCATTTAAAAGCTTAAGTGGTTAGAGAGAGCAACATTTTTATTTACTTAATTATATTATCAACAGTTACAGTGAAAAACAGAAGATAAATGATGTATCAAATGTCACAATATCTTAACTGATAGATTTTGCTGAAATTTCTCAAACAAAGAAACATGCTGAAACCCTTCTCTAATGTTGTGGTCATCAGAAAGCTTCTTCTGCAAAATACATAGTACAACAATATCTAGCAGCTAGCGGAGGGCAGGCTGCATTAAATTCAATCAATAGCATGTACGCGGTGGGGCAATTGCAGATGGCAATGTCAGACATACAGCAAAGTGGTAACCAGATGAACTCCAAACGGACATGTGAGGACGGAGGATTTGTTCTTTGGCAAAAGAATCCTGATCTGTGGTTCCTAGAATTTGTCGTATCCGATTGCAAGGTCAGTGCTGGTAGTAATGGTACAGTAGCTTGGAGTCACTCTTCCACCAATTCTAATGCTTCAAAAGGTCCTCCAAGACCACTCAGGAGGTTCTTTCAGGTACCCCTTTCGCTTCAGTAGTTCTTTAGGCCTGAGTGACATGATTTTTAAGATTAGTTATATGTATTGACAGTATAATTAGTATAACTTGTATAGATAATAACCATTTTTACTACGTATCATGGAGATTTACATGTAAGCTATGTGTTGGCTGATAGAGGATTTCCAAGACGATATTCTTGTCATCAAAGATGTGATCCTCTAAGATCTTAGTATAATTTATACTAAGATCTTAGAGGATCATATCTTGATATGAAGAATATCTTCTCATCTTAGAGGATCACATCTTTGATGACAAGAATATCGTCTTGGAAATCCTCTATCAGCCAACACTATGTTTCTTGAGTCCTCCATAAATGCCTCTGCTCCCATGTCGGATCTTCCAAAAGCATTTTTGGAGTATATGAGCAACAAACATAACCTGTAATTACCATGTGAACTGATTGTGTAAATACCTTTTAGACCATCAAGGCATAGAGCATAAACTCTATTGTAACATACTTCTTATTTTTGAGTTGCAAGTCACACTCTTTCCTTTATGTGCTTTATGAAATCATCCAACAACTACATGGTTAAGTATACCAGTACTGCTGCCTGCACAAGCTAGAAAGCTTATCAATGTTGATAAAACTCAGATTCCTTCCTTGTCTTATTTATGAACTCGTCTTTGATCAACAGGGACTAGACCCCAGATCAACAGCCAATTTATTTCTGAATGCTGTTTGTATTGGAGAAAAGAAAATCAAGGATGAAGGATGCTTTATACTAAAACTTGAGACTAGCAAAGACATGTTGAAGGCACAAAGCACAGCCAACACAGAAGTTGTTCATCACACCATATGGGGCTACTTCAGCCAACGCTCAGGAGTTCTCATCCAATTTGAGGACACAAAACTAGTAAGATTGAAGTCAGCGAAAGACAGCAATGACAGTATTTTTTGGGAAACAAGCATGGAATCAACGCTTAAAGATTATAGGTACATCGAAGGTATCAACATAGCACACAGTGGAAGAACTGCAGCAACAATTTATAGATATGGAAAGAACATAGACTATAGAGCAAAAGTTGAGGAAACATGGAAGATTGAAGAGATTGATTTTAACATTAGTGGTTTGTCAATGGACTGCTTTTTGCCTCCTGCTGATGTAAACAAGGAAAATGAACAAGAATGGGATTCTAGAGCCTCTTTAGCTGAAAATAGAACTGTATGCTAATGTGAAAATGTTCTTGTATATAAGATAGATAGGCTGTTAGCTCTTGTTCTTATTTCCTAAATATTGGATATTTTGATCACAAAAGAGTTCTTTCGTCTCAAAATCCAAGTAATAAATAGTGAAAGTTCTCAAACTTCGGTTTGATGAATTTAATTAGATCAATTAGCTATGATATGCATATAGAATACTTAGATAAAAATAAAAATAGTACAATATATTTCAAAACTAAGAATGGTAGTGTTCAAATCTATAACTAGATCTAATTCTCCCATCGATGAAAGTTTTATATCCCAATCTTCGGCATATCTTTAACATGATCTTGTTCATCAGGGCAAATCGATACACGATTACAACAAAGGTCCGTTGGTGCAAGACAACCACCTTTATTTAGCATGACGACAGTGACATCAGGATTTGTACTTTCTATTATGGTTTGAGCTTTCACGACATCAACTCCGACCAACTCTGGCCATTCACATTGATTTGAGAATCCAAAATGTTTGCACTGATTTCCAGTACAAGTGCATGATTGACAAGGAGGGTATGGTGTTTTGGATTGGATTATGACCATATATTGGGAAAATAATAGAAAGCCAAGAAGAAAATGTAATATTGTTATCATGATGAATTGTGATGTTGTGCAAATGGAGAGACTTCACATTTTATAGGGCCATAGCTTTTTATGGAAACTTGATACATGCAATGTAATCTGGTCAATAATAATAAGAAGGAAAGTGATTTTTGGACATACATTTAACTTTCATGTGGCAATACGTTATGAAATAAATATTTGAAAATAACTTTTGATACTTGATTTTTAGTCTGCTTTGATGTGTGTTTTATAAAATATACGTAGATGATGATAGTTTAAATAAAAATATGAGAATAACATATAGTTGAAAATGATAGTTAGATGTGTTTTTGACTATTTCTCAGGAGAACAACGATTAAATTGATTTGATTTTGATTTAGAACCTATCCAAATCGATCCGTGAATACCCATATAACAAAAAGACATAACACATAAACATGACCCTTAACTTGGCTCCATCTGACAACTATGACATTTAACTTTGGATGTGCATAAGTAGACACTTTAACTTGTATAAAATTGAACAAATAGACACATTCGTCCTACATGACACCCTATATAGCAAATTTTACGTCTTACGTGGCATCCTACGTGTATTATGCCATGTAGGACACATGTGTCTACTTGTTCAATTTTATACAAGTTTAAGTGTTTACTTGTGCACACTAAAAGTTGTAAGATATAATTATCCGCTGAAGTCAAGTTAATGATCATGTTTATGTATTATGCCTAACAAAAAACAGTATTGGGGGTATTTTGGTAACAAAAAAATAATTAAGGATTCACATGTATTTTCTTAAAACTACAGGGGCAAAAGTGGACATTTACCAGTTTTCTCTGCCAAACGCCGCATACTCCAAACCCTAGCACTGTCTAAACCCCTATTTAAACAACATTTTCTCCAGTAAATTTTCAATCAATTTGCTTTTCTTCATCAATCGATTCTGCAAAAAATAGTTTCTTCAAACAATTTTCATGTCTGCTTTCTTAATTTTTTTTATTTTTTTTTATTTTTTTTTGTGTTTATAGCATCAAATTTACCCTCTTCTTGTACTAATTATGTGAACAAGGAGATAAAGCTGATGCATAAACTGATACGGTTGGCTTACCAGCTCATTGCATTCATATTCTTATTGCCTTCGTGCCAAATGGTCCTACCGAAATCCTCAACTTTTCAATTGCTTTTTTCTCTGAATCTGTTTTTTTTTTTTTATAATTCATACTTTGGCATATGATGATTTACTGTAAATACTGAATAATCATGTCGATTATATACTCCGCTTATTATCTGATGCTATTTTGTTTCTTTGATTCAGATCTACTGAATGTTAGTTGTTAATGTTTTTCTAATTTTTCATCGTTTGGCATATGACGATTCACTGTAAATACTGAATAATCATGTCGATTATTTACTCCGCTTATTATCTGATGCCATTTTTTGTAGTTTCAGATCTACTGAAGTTAAATTGTTTTTAAATTGTCTTTCTGGGTTTTTTGGGAGGCAAATGATGTTTAAACAAAAATCTTATACTACACACTGAAATTTAATGAAGAAAAATTAACTCTCAATTAGTTTTCTGATGCCTCTTAATTATTAGTATTATTTTTGATAATATTAACCAATGTTTGTTTAATCTGTTTGATAAAAAATAATTTGTTGGCTTAATGATGAGATACAAGCAGACGGGCGGTCTGAACTGATGCCATGTTGATTGTCTGCACAACTTCCATTAATGGAATTTCTCTGAAAGTTAATAGTTACTGTTATTTACAAATTACTTTTGATTTATTAATGTGATTTAATTTGCTCGTTTCATCTGGCTGCAGTGATGATGTTGCTTATATTATGTCTGGACTTATGATAATCCATGATTAGTTAATTGCAAATTTCTGAGCAGCTATGTTTCTAAGCATCAACCAATTATCTTGATAGTGGAATATCATCGAGTATTTGAGATTAACATATTAACATGTTGAATGTCATTTTGGCTTGTTTATATGGGAATCTATGTTATATACCATCTAATTATGAAAAAACTTGGATTATCTACCAGCAAATGTAAAATTGTTTTCATTCAGATTCATTACCTAAAATAATTGAGGTAACAAAGCAAATTTGAGTAACATTTTAGTAGATGAATTTATGCTAATTCTAATTTCTTGCAATTTCTAAGTTGGATTGTATTAATGAATTTCTTGATCATAATATGTTTATGCTAAGTTGGATTGTAGTGCTCTTCAATCAAATAATTTACTTTGTTAAAAAAATAAATAAGACATACACTTGAAATGGTATATTAAATTTGAAAAATGATATAGAATTGATTAAGGGGCATGTAAAGGACTTCATAATAAAATCTCCGACTATTCGAAAAAATTCAAAGAAAGTTTGATTCTTTTAATTTTAGGATAAGTAACAATAATATTCTAGTTCCTGGGACGTCCGATTCATAACATATTGCTTCAGTATTTCAAAAATTCATTTTGACTATACATAAATTAATATCAATTTTGTGGTGAATACTTATATTAATTATTATTTTAAAAATATATATAAAATTTAAAGTTGACAATTAAATTTAAACTAAGAAAGTAACTTATGCTCCGTATCATTTTGAATATCTAAATTTTATTTTAAATTATTAATAAATTTAATTTTATTTAACTTCAAAGATTACTTAAATTGACCCTCAATAATTTAAGGTTATATCTTAAAAGTTTGGAGTAGACAGATACGTTGTATATTAAAAGAAGTCTTACAGAAACTCTTATCTTTTACCAATAAGATAAATAGTCCTTCATCCTTAAATCAAATTCAAGAGGTTTAGGATTCGAGTCCCCTTAGAATACGGAGTCAACTTAGTTAGAGAGAGTTTTACCATCCCAATGTGGGACTATATCTTTTTGCTTCATGCCGTAGAAAGCCCGTAGAAAGCAACTACGTATTAGGGATGAATCTATGTGAATCAATGAAAAATTATAATTATTTTTTATATATATAATGAAAATTGAATTTCTTTGACTTTATCATATGAAATTGTCTTTATATTTAAAACTTTTTAAATAAAAATGACAACTATGCCACAAATTAGTATCTTAAAATACTTGTAAAGTTTGACAAACCAAATGTGAAAAAGAGAAAATGCCGCTAACACTAGTTGGCATGTTTGGTAGTATTTGTAAGCATTTTCCAAAATGGATCGCTTTCATCATTATATTGTCAAAAATACTTATAATAAATTAAATATTTTAGTATTATTTTTAAAAATGTAATTTGGTTAATTTGGCCAAATTGAGTTGAGATAAAACATTCAGATAACAATAGCATATCTAATAGTAAAGTGGAAGAAGAAAAATGCACACAAATTTTATTTCTATCTTTATGAATAGAAAGGTTGGTTCGATAGACATTTTTGTTATACTAATTACTATATTTCAAATGACATTTTATGCTACATGGATTCTTTATTTGTAGATATATCCGTGTTGAACGAGTATCATACTACAAATGTTTTTTAAAATACATTTGAATTTATTATTATTTTTAAAAAAAAAAGAGAGAAAAAGGTGCACATATCCATACCAGATATTCACATGCATCCGAACACCGATTACCCAGTTCACTTAACAATACCATCATTAATTCTAACCCAAATTTAGCACTATTTTTTTCCTATTAAGTATTCAACAATAAAAACCTACTAATCTCATTAATTTGAATTTATGTTAGATAGGTTTCGTTAAAAAGTAAGAAGTTTTCTATTAACAAATCTAACTTTCAAAATTTAGTAGTAGTGAAGTGGGTGAGAATCCTGACTCAAGTTTCATGTTTAAAATTCAGCGGAGATAAGAAATACTACGTGATTCTTCTTACATGTCCTAGATTTGATAGACAAAGTTATCTGTTACTTGTTGATGGTGAGAAATGACAAATATTTCGTAAAATTAATCGAGATGCGCAAAAACAGCCCTACCACCACCATCGCCTAAAGAAACAAAAAAGAAGAAGGAAAGAAACTATCTCCACTTTACTTTTTGTTGACAATTTTAGCGGACAAATTAACTACATTAAAAATAAAGGTTCTTCCTTCAAAAAGTCATACTATACAAATAATTATATATAAAACAATGATTACAATTAATATTAATATGTAAATATTACTTTTAAGTTAAAAAATTCTAGTCGTCCTAGATAACATTCTAATTTTAGAGTGCAATAAATTCCTAATTTCGTCAACACGTTAAACGGTTCCCAAAGGTTGAATGTTAGGTGACCCACCAAAGTGTTGAAAGCACACACAAAGACATTGACGGCATAAGAAGTCAATTATATTCAACAAACCCCACATGCCATGTTTTATTATGTATTAAAATTATGGATCGTGACAAATATTTATATTATATTTAAGATGTATAATTACAATTTTAAAATTTATGAAATATAGTTATATTTTAGATTTTATGTAACAAATACACTATA